CTTGTTCGTGTTCCTGCATGCCTGTCCAGCATGGGGCCTGTGGCTCCGTGTCACCTTCACGGCTGAACGCAGAGCAAGGAGTGTTCGGTCCCAGAAAAGATGCATCTCATCCCTCTCATGTGTCCTGTGCAGTGTTCTGAATGGTGCAAATCAACGGGTCTGCAGTGCTGCATCATGCGGAAATTGGCAAGTTGAGAAGAGACTACACATTTCTGCCGAGGTTGGTAGGCACCGAAAATTGCCCGACGTCGCAAGAATTGCTTCCTGTTTCCTACAGTGGAAATCGCAGCATGAAGCAGGCCGGTCGGATCCTCCAGCAGTTGAGCCTGGCATGGCGTTCATTGCCGAGAAGAAGTTCCTTGGCGCTGGGTCGTGTCTCAGGCAGGGAGGTCCTGGGGGGCGCAGAAGATCCTCCGAGGTTCGTGAAGGCAGCGAATGCCGTGGCAAAGCTGGACCTGGGAAAGGAGCGCCTGGGCCCGGAGTTTAGATGTAAGCTGCTGGCTCGAACAGACCATACGAGTACACGAGAGCCGTGCCAAGGCTTTGGGCAAAGCCGCTGAAAGTGGCTTTGGAAGCGTGGCTGCCACGAATGAACGGCCGACATCTGGCCAACCTCAAAGCGATTGCCGTCATGGAGCTTTTGGATGAGCCGCAGGCGATGCACGCATACCTCGAGCAGTGTGAGAGCCTGCGCAACGACATCTGGTACTCCCGGCACCTGCAAGTGGTTGAGGCCCACGTCCACCTGCTGTACCCTGAGCTGTGGAACTCCCTGGACGAGCGAATTCGCCTTTTTCTGCAGACTGTCCGGACTGCCGCAGAAGAGAGCCGTCAGACGCAGGCCCAAGTCCAGGAACGCTCGGCCTCAGAGAACTCAGAGGACGAGTCAGACGAAGAGGTCCACGCGGCGGTAGTGCGGTAGCTCCGACCTTCGACAAGCAGCGCTTCAGTTCCGCCTTGCACGCGGATATCAGCCGCATGCTTACGGCGCTGGGCTTGGAGCACAGCAACAAGATCTCCGCGGGGCCGGTGCTACTGGACATCGTGCGCCTGGTCGGCGAGTCAAAAGCACTTCAAAGTGTGAATTCAGGTGTGTGCTGCTCTTGATGCA